TCAGGGCCAAAGCCACTCAAAGGGGGATTGTTTCACCCAAAGCTCCCCCCCATCGGCCCGGGGCGCTTTGATGGCACAGTGCACCAGGGGAGCTACACCCGCTACCGCGAGGCTGTGAAGCAGAATCAGCTCCAGAGATGTAAGTGAACAGTGGGGTCTAGGCATGACAGAAGAGGGAATATGGAATCAGGACGCCTGGGTTCTAGGCCGGCCTCTGCCCCAGCCTCCCTGTGTGACCTTGGGCAAGTCCTTTCCCCCCGTTACACATGGGGAGAACGATATAACGTAGAGAATTTTTCACTTGACCAGAGCTCTAAACCCCCCCCCAGACACACACACACACCAGCGGGAGACGTAGTTTGTTGGCCTTTGCAAAGCACTTGGAGCTGTGGGAGCGGCTGGGCAAAGAGGTTTTCAGCCCCAGCTCCTGCTGGGAAGGAGTGGTTTTCTGTTGTGCTCAGGGCAGGGTGCCCCAGCTCAGCTGCCCCCTCCCCCCAGCAAGTGACAGCGACCCCAACAAGCTGGATGCCCTCCCTAACAGCCTGGACCCTCCCCTCTGTCTGATTCTAGCCCCCAACCAAGTCTTCAGGGTCCCAGTGACCTGTGCACAGGACTGCAGCTGGTGGCTGCCCAGGGATCCCATAGTCCGAGCAGAGGAGGCCACCCCCTGGATGACGGTGCCGAGGCATCCCCTGATAAGGAGCCCCATGACCAGGTGAGATCGTAGTGCCGGCAGCAGAGGGGACAGCACCCCATCACAGAGCTGCCAGCACATGGGGAAGGGGAGGGACAGGGAGAGGCGGGAAGCGCCCCCCCCAGCCATCCCAGGAACAGAGCATGTCTGACCCTGCTCCCACCGAAGCTGGTGGCCCAGCATCCGCACCCAGTTTGCTGAGTGAGGCCCCTCTCCCAGCTGGCGCTAGCCCCAGGATCCCGGGCAGGACCAGAGCTCACCTGTGGCAGGGGAATGCTTGAGAGCATCCTCTCCTCGGGCCAGTCGGACACGGCGGGTGAGGGGCCCAGCCAGCACGGTATTCCGGCTCTGCCGGGGACCAGATCACCTGCCGGGCGAGGGTCCCCACAGCTCTCAGCTCCACCAGGCTGAGGCAGGGGGGTTATGGGGCATTTCTCACACCTCACTCCGTTGAAGACTCAGGTTTGGGTCACTTCTGGATCCTCAGGCCCCAGCTATGCAGGGGTAAGGCTGGTGAGTCGGGCACCCCAGGAAAGCCCAACCTAAACAAACAAAGCCCCGAACAAATCCAGACGCAGGCAACTGAAAACTCCACAATCAGCAAGGGGCCCCTGAAATCCAACACACACACCCAGCACCCATGAGCCTAGCTGCTTTGGTCTCCGTCACCTGCCACCTCAGACCCTCCCACGCTTTGCAGATGCCTGAAAAGCCACCCTGGACCCAGCTGAGCAGCAAGCGGGTTCGAGTCTCCCTGGCACTGCTCCTTGCACAGCCCATCGCCCCCGTGCAAAGCAGGCGTGAAACACCACAGGGGCCTCTTGCACCCACTTGGCACTGGGGCCAATGCCTGGGCAAGGTGGTGGAGCCTTGAGCGCAGCATCCAACTTACCACAGCCCTGGCTCCAAGGACGCGCTGGGTCGTATCCCGCACCCAACACTTGCGAGCAGTGCCCATGGCGGCCAGTCCTGGCACGGGTCCCTGCCTGTTTTGTCCTGCCAGGCACCACCCGGGCTGCCTGCGAGCCTGGCCCAGCCAGCAGCCACTGGGGGGCAGCAGGGCACCAGCGGCTCCGCTCCCCACCCGGTGTCCCAGAGCGGGCAAAGTTCAAGGCTGGCACGGGGCACATGGGGTGGCTCCAGCCACTGCCGCCCATGGGCCCCCGCAGCCAGGAGCTCTCTCTCCGCTCCCACGTGCCATACAAAGGGACCTGAATCGACTGGCCTGGGGGGCGGGCAGGCTGGCGGCATCACTCCTCGGGTCCCGGCTCCCGGCCCGGGCAGCTGTTTAGCTGCACGGGCGGGGATCACATGACACCCCCAGCCCTTAAAGCGGTAGAGCGGCTTTGTGGTCCGGTTGGGGGGGTGCCCCCTGCCCCACCTCCCACAAAGTGGGCAGCACCAGCTGCCGCCCCGCGGGGGAGGCCGGGCGCTGGGTCCCTCCACGTCCCCTTGCAGCCTCATTCCCAGCAGCAGTTCCCCGGGGGCCTGGATGGACAGGGCTCTAGGGGGTGCTCAGGAAATGGGGCCCAAGCTCAGCACCCCAACAAAGGAGGCCCTGACTCAGCGGCTGCCAGCCGGACAGAGCGGCCCCCACCCCGAGCCCCTGCTGCTCCCTCTCCCTTCCCCTCCCTCCTTCGCAGGTTCTGGGCTCCAGGACCGAGCTCGGATGGGAGCAGGGTTTCTCCCCAGACACTGGCCACAGATGAAGAGGCCCTGATGCCACAGCCCCCACCTGACCGCAGGGTCCTCAAAGAGTGCGCAGGCCCCACAGAGGGAACCTCCCTCCCCGCCCCGGGGCTCCTGCGCTGGCCACAGCACACCCGCCCCGCCGTAGCCCGGCACCGCCTCCTCGTGCAGGTATCTGACGGCTCCTTTCCCTGCCCTAGGTTTGTGGACAGCGTGGGCCTGAGCAACCCCCATTTCAGCCTGTTCTGAGCACCCCCGTGGGCCCCACCGCCGGGCACGTCTGGCCTTCCACGGACACGGAGCAGCCCCGGGTGCTGGAGCCTGGCAGGCACCGGGGCAATAAAGCGATCGAGGCAATTGGGCCCAGGACCATGATTTCATGGGGAGGCGCCAGGGTCTCCCTTTCTGCCTGGGCAAGGGGTAGGAGACTACGGTCCGGGAGGGAGCGTGGCTGGCAGGGTAAATCCTATGGCACAGGGGGGCCATTTGCTTTCCAGCGCTCCTGGGGTTTGCCCTGTTTGGCACACGCGAGGCCTTTGGGGGCAGGACTCCTGGGTTCTATTCCTAGTGCTGCCCCCCACTTGGGTAATGTCAGTGCACTGAGTTCCACCCCTGTGCACCAGCGGTGGGTGAGAGCTCCGCTTCTCGGGCACCATAGGGCCAGGCCCGGCTGCGTGGGAGCCAGAACATGCCCGTGGCTGGTCCTAGACTGGGATGAACACCCCGGGAACTAGGGACCACCCCAACCTCCCCAGCCCCTGTGCCAGCCGCGTTCTCTACCATCACCACAGAGCAGGATGGGCAGATAAACCAAACCCTTCCAAAACAAGCCCCTGCCCCACCTGCACAATACCCCCCACCCCAGAGGGGGATGGAAGAGAACGGACCACACAGGACGGGTGGTGGGCGCAGCGGCTGGTGCCCAAGTAGCAGGAGCCCATGTACCAGGGTGAGAACCTGTGTGGACTAGAATAGGCAGAGGTGTTCCAGGGGGCCCTCTCCACCCCCTCCCCGAGGCCTCACCAGGGTCCCTTGCACAGGGGCACCCCCCACCCCAGCACAAGCGTGTGCAGTAAGGGTGGGGGAGCGTGCAGGAGGGTTGGGCAGGGATGGGAAGCAGCAAAGTCCAAGAGCAGGTGAGCATGGGACAGACGGGGCACGCATGGTGTGGCCCCCGGGGGAGCAGTGGGAGAGATGGTGAGCTGTGCCCAGCCCCTCCAGTGACTGGTGCAGCCCCCACACCTCTTGGTTGCTCTGCCAGAGCCCATCACCCTGGCCCCCAGCAGCCCTCTGCCCACCCATCCTGCCCCCTTGTGACGGAGCAGGGAGCAGGGCAGATTTGACCTGGGAATGTTGCAGGGGGGTTGCAGTGGGGATGTGGGACTTCCCTTGAAGGAAGCTACCTGAGCTGTAACCTGAGCCAGGAGGGGGTGGGGAGAATTAACACCTTCTGCCCGGGAGACTGAACAAAGGAGAGGAGCAGCGGGAGGGGCTGGGAGTTTAGTTTCGGTTGGGGCTGGGTGGTGCAACGCAGGGAACCCCAAGCTGGGGTCTAAGCTCCCTGAACCTCACAGAGGGACCTAATTGAGGGGGTCTGGTCGTACCTACACGCTCTGCTTGAGACTGTGTTCCTGTCCTTAAATAAACCTTCTGCTTTACTGGCTGGTTGAGAGTCGCAGTGAATCTCGGGAAGAGGGGTGCAGGGCCCTAACTCCCCCACACTCCGCAACACCCCTGAAACCAGGAGACAAAGGGCCGGAGGCTGCACAGTTGAGCCCCGCTGAGCGTCGCTGGGTGAGTGCAGGCCGAGCTCCCCCCCCAGCATGGCCGTGTGCTTCCCTTTGCACCTGGCGCTAGGCCGGGGGCTACTAACATTGGGCACCAAAGCTAGCGGCACCCACGACCGAGCCGCTCTTCCCAGGGTCAGTGACAGCACCAGGCCTGGGGGCTGAGCCCTCACCCCCTCAGTGCTCATCTCGGCTTGTCATCAGCATCCCCCTCACACCGCCTAAAGCAACTTGCCTCTCCCCAAAGAGCTGGTACAGCACCCAGCGCCCTAGCTTAGCAGCACCCTGGCGTCTGTTCGGGCTGGGCAGGGGGTGGCCCCGTCGCCGTTGCACCCAGCAGCAGCCGGAGCCAAGGGGTGCCAGTGCGGGGAGGGCGAGACCCCATCCGCCGAGATTCTGGCAGGGGCCGAGAGCAGATCAAGAGCCCCCAGCCCAGCTCCGAGTCCCCTCACCCCCCACTACTGTCCCTGAGCCCTGTGGCAAGGGCACTGACACCACCAGCCACTGCCTCCTGGCTGGTCCCGAGGGGCTAGCAGTGCACCCCCAGGCGTGAGAATGCCCCCCAATGCCCTACGCTCCAACCCTGCAACCTGGGCCGCTTCTGCCCCAAGGGGCCCAGCCAGGCCAAGGCCTGTGCAATCGTCCCATTTCACCGCCAGACGGAGCCACCCTAGCCAAGCCCACCAGGATCTCAAAGCTACCCAGTCAAAGTGCACGAATTCAAAGGCTCCATGGCCACCGCCTCTCGCTGCCCAGCCGGCCCCATGGACACAGCCCGCGTCACGGTGCGCAGCGGTCCCAGGGGACAGGACACCTCCAGGACACAGCAGTTGTTATAGAAAGTGAGTTTTATATATAATTTATATGTACACACAAGAAAAAAGTACCTTTAATCTGCATTGCCAAATAAGTGCCACGTCCCCCCTCCCCCGACACAGCGACAGCGCCGCTCTCATCGGGGGCTTCAGTCCAAAGCTGCCGCGCCCCCTCCCTCCGGCAGGTGCAGCCCAGGAAGGAACGGAGACCCCACGGCTTTGGGCCCGGACCGAGCTCGCCTGGCTCCGACGTCGGCTGAAAACTCCCCAGACACAGTCACGGAAATAAAAACACCCCAAAACTGCTAAAAAAAAAACCAAACCCAGAAATCACTTCTTTTTTGCATTTAAAACAGCCCCGGCCCCAAGGGATCCAGGCAGTTCCCGCCCCGGCGTGGAGGGCTCCCGCCACTCCCGGCTCAGCCCAACGCCAGGGGAGAGGGGCCTTCCAGCTAGGGGGAGATCTGGCTGCACCAGGGGCAAAGGGCACGCTGGCAGCACGAGAACAGCCTCCCAGCGGAAAGGGGCCTATGCCACCCCCTTTGTGGTGGGCATGGGGGGAGGCAGAGCAGGACCGATCAGCTGTCCCTGGGGGCTTTTCCTGCCCCCCCCCAGAGCAGCGTAGTCGGGGAGGGAAGGGGCAGAGCAGTGGCAGGGGAAGCGTGGCCCTGACCTCACCCCCCTGTTACCAATCCCTTGCCCCCAGCCCAGCCCTCCGCCGGGCCCCAGGAAGGAGCTGATGAAAACGCTCAGAGGCCCTGGCGTCTCCATGGAGATTGATGCATGAGGGGCTGAAGGGGGCTGCAAGCACCCAGTTATTTAATAACCCCCCAGCCTGGGGCATGGACCCACCCTCCTGCCCCACACCTGCTAGCGCCAGGCGCGCGGACCATCGCCCTGGAGCTGCTCAGTAAGGCTCTTGGGTGGGGGAAGGGGACTGGCCCTGGCCCACACACCCAGGGAGGGGGGCAGGCTGGTCCTGAAGTCACTGTACAGAAAGCCCCCCCACCCCCACCTGGGGCAGGAGGCACCCACGGGCTCAGCCCCATGGGGTCCGGGACCCAGGAGTGCCGAGGCCAGGCAAATTCTGAGCCTCCACATTGTATTTTCAAGTTTTATCCGGGGGGGGGGGGCGGCGGAGGGGAGACACCCCCCTCTCCCACCTGTGCCTGGAGTCACAGGGTGGGGGGAGCTCCTCACATGGGGAATTCCTCTCCCCTGGGGATCTGGGGGTAAACTGCCCCTCCCTGGGGGTACGGCCCAAGGGTGCGGGAGACCAGTGACCCGCTGGAGCTGGGGGAGGCGTTTGTTCAGATAAGGCTAACGGGGCAATTTTCCAGCTGCAGCTGGTGCCCCCTGCCCCCAATGGTCAGGGTGGGGGGGTCTGGCTCACCGGCAAGCTGCAGTCCCGTTAAAGAACAGGGAGGCCGTGGGGGGAGGGGAGCAATGCTCAGGAGGTTGGGGGCACAGGGCCGATCCTCAGGGGGGGGCGGGCAGCAGAACCAGAGCCAGGACGGGCTTTGTGGCACTTGGGAATTTGGCACATGGGCAGCGTGGCCCGTGGAGGAGGCTGAGGGGGTGTCAATGGTTTGGGGGGGCTGGGTCCCAGCTGGTGAAGGGACCTCCCAGCCTTGAGAAGTGGCAGGAGAAGCTGAAAGGGGCCCAGGTCCGAAGCCAGATGAAAGCGCCCCCCCCACACAGGCTGGGAGCAGGCAGCAAGATTTACTCTCAGACACATACCCCCACCCCAGCCTCACTGGACACAGTGGGGGCGGGGGGGTTGGTGCCTGAGGCTGGGGGGGCTCAGCTCCTGCCCCCAGCGCTGCCGCAGCCCCATGGACCCACAGACACATCCTCTTTGGCGTCACCTATCTCTGGGAGTCGCTCCCTGCCCCCCCCATAAGACACCTGCAGGGCCCCCCCCCCACACACACACAGCCCCTTCTCCCCAGGAGACATTCTTCCCTCCCCCCTGCAACAGGAGGCAATTTTGGCAAATAAGAGCCGTTCAGCCCCCCCCTTCCTCGGGCTTAGGCCTCAGAACTGGTGAAAGTCACACCGAGCGGATGGGGGGCCAACGGGAGAGAGTCCTCAAATATAAATCTATTTAAAATCCCCTCCCGCCCCCAGCCCCACCGGAAGGGGACGATCCTCCCACCCCAAACACAGCAAGCAGCTCCCAAGGGATCTCCCGGCGCAAGCGCTCAGACAACAGCGGGATCCCCTGCCCGGCCAATGGGCGCCCCCCGCTGCCCTCGGCTTTGGTCGACTGCGGGCGGGGGCGGGTTCATCTTTCCCAAGTTCAGTGTCAGTCCCTGGAAAGGGAGAGAGAGGCCCCGGGCCAGCCCCAGCACGGAGCGCCCTGGGCACCCCCGACAGGCTGGCTCCGGAGCTCAATAAATAAATAAAAAGTCTGCTGTAAAAATATTTCTTCAACACCCCCACGGGGTGCCTCCAAACTCCCCCTCCCCGCCGCACACACCTGGTGGCAAAGACACCCCCCCAGTGGGTTCAGGGTGGCGCCGCTTTCCCTCTTCAGTTTGGTGTTGAAATTCGGAGCCGTTTACAAGACCCCACAAATAAAATGGACCCGAGGCCGGGGGGGGGGAGGGAGGGGAGCAGCCAGGCCTGGGTGGTTCCCAGTGGCTTGGCTGAGCCCGGCCCAGGCCCAACCTGCGGCAGCCCCGCCTGGCCCCTCTGGCACGCTGGGTCCTTCTCGCCCAAGGCCGCGGCTGGCGCTAACTGCGGGGCGGGCCGGCGTTCAGAAAGTAGGTGGTCATCTCCCCTTTGCCCTTGACCTTGATGACCCCCCGGCACTCCAGCTGGTAGCCCTTGGCCGCCAGCACCTGGTACAGGTCGGTCGTCACCTGGGGGAGGAGGAGAGAGAGCCGACGGTGAGACCAGGACCCCACGTGGGGCACGGGCCGAACGTTGCCCTCGCCTACCCTGGGCAGAGAGAGGCCACACCCCAGTGCTTCAGCTCCCCGCGGGCCCAGAGGGCGGCTCAGACCCGCCTGCCCTGCTAGGACTTTGCCTTGCTAGGGACCCCGGGACCTTTGGCTCTTAGCCCTGCAGGGCAGCCGGCCTCCTCCGCTCCCCTAGGCAGCGCCACGCTCCTAGCGGGCAAGGTGACCTCGGGCTCCAGCTCAAGCAGCCGGGGCCGAGGGACGGGGACGCTGTGGTTTGGGTTCAGCACCCCAGTGCCCCCCCCACATTCCTTCGTCGACTGAGGCCAAGCAGACCAATGAGTGCAGCGGAAAGCGGGAGCCAGGACACCTGGGTTCTGTCTCGAGAGCCCGGGGCCAGGCCCGTCCTCCCTCAGAAAAAGGGGCCAAGGATCCCAGCCCCCACCTGGGAGGCTGAATGCGTCGGCGACTCTGCGCACCAGGGATACCCAGAATGCAGCGGCAGCTCAGTCCCAGACATCCATCCTGCCCCTTCCCCCGCTAGTGTCTGGAGGGGGTCGGGGTGGGGGGTCAGCACCATCCCCCTCTGGCCGGCTTCTCCCTCCGCAGGGCTGGGTAGGGGCCAGTGGCGGGATCAGACGGCAGGTTCCTCGCCGAGCAACGCCCCACCCCAGGCGGGCTGGAGAATTCCCCCCTTCCCCGAAAACGTCCCCGTCAGCTCAGCCGCATGGGAACGACGGACGCTGTGGCCCAGGACGAGACGGCGACTCACCTGGATGCGGTCAGGGACCCCTGTGCTGTCCATGCGGCTGGAGACGTTCACAGTGTTCCCCCAGATGTCGTACTGGGGCTTCCGGGCCCCGATGACCCCCGCTACCACCGGCCCGATGTTCAGCCCTGCAGGGAGAGGGAGGGTCAGAGCTCATGGCCCCGGGCCCCACCCAGCCCATCTGTCTCCCCCTCCGAGAGCAGCCCCCACGTCCCAGCAGCCCGTGCGGGCAATGGGTTCAGGAGGGCGGGCTGTGCATTCGCATGATCGTTTGCACACGCGTGACAACGTGTCTTCGCACACACATGCATATGCCTATGCTCTTGCACGTCCACAAGGAAGCACCCTGGAGTGGCCAGGGACGAGCTGGAGGAGGGGGGGTGGCTCACGGCGCTCCCCCGCCCCCGCTCACCGATCTTCATCTGGAAGTTGTTGAAGGAGTGCTCGTTGATGTACTTCATCTGCTCCATGAGGCGCATGGCGTAGTCGGCCAGCGCGGTGATGTGCGTCCGGCCCTCCCGGTCGTATGTGCTGTCGTTCAGCCCCGAGGCCGCCATGTAGGTGCTGCCGATGGTCTTGATCTTCTCCAGCTGTCGGTACTGCGTCTCGCTGATGATCTGACGGGGGAGGGGGCAGCAGCTACAGGGGGGCTGGGCAGGGGGCACTGCGGGTCCCCCCTCCATGCACGACCCTCGCCAGGGACCCCACACTGCGCTCTTGCCCCAGGGGACACGACCCTCCCTGGTGACCCCTCAGAACCGGGGCCCTGCTGCCACCATGACCCTCGCCCCGTGAGCCGCTCCCAGACTGGGCTGAATCTGGTGGGCTGGGACCCCACCCACCCCGCTCCCAGGGGTTGGGCCCGAGCCGTGGCCCCCATATCCCATTGGCCCCCAGGGCAGAGTTGGGTCCTCAGAGGCCCCATTGTCCCCGCCCCCCCAAAGCCCACATCCCCGCTGCCCCCGACCACGCCCCCCGGGTGCTGCCCCTGGCCGGCCCCCCATGGCCCCCGCCCGGTACCTCATCAAAGTCGGCGATGATCTCGTTCAACAGCCGCAGGCACTCCACCCCCTCGTTGTTGGCCTCCAGCTCCACGTAGAACTCGGAGAAGTTGCTGATGGAGGCGAACATGACGGCCACGCACTCGCACGACTGGTAGTACAGTTCGTCGTTACAGCGCTCGCGCGCCAGGAAGTGCGCGGCCACGTCCTTGGGCAGGATGTTGTGCAGCAGGCGCCGGTTGTAGGCCTGGAGCTCCTCCATCTCCTCCTTCTCGCCCGTGGCCTGCGGGGGCGCCAGCGTCAGGGTGGCTGCCCAAGCCCTGTCCCGTTGGGGGAGGCAATGCTCCCTCCCCCCCAGCCTTCCCCCTTGGGGGGCAGCACCAAAAGCGATCCTGAGGCCTCCCCCAGCAGTGCTCCACTGGGGGGGGCCAGCACCTGCCTCCCACCCCCCGGGATGCCCCTCCCCCAGGACCCCGGCCCCTCCCTACCTGCAGCTTCCAGAGGAAGTCAAGCCGGGCTGTGGACTCCACCCGCTGAGCGTGCAGATAGAGCGCCAGGGCGAAGACGGTCAGGATCACGGGGGTCATGTATTTCAGCGCCACCTTCTCCTCCGCCAGGCTGGGGGCACGGGGGGGGCGGGGGTCAGGCTGCAGCAAGGCACCACGGACCCCAAAGCACCCACCCTCCTGAGCTGGGGCCAGAGAGACCATGGGGCACAAAAGGCCAGAAGGGGATGGATCCCCAGAGCACTCACTGCCCCCAGCCATGGACCTGCTGGTCACTAGCCGTACCCCACAGAGCAGTGCAGCAAAGGCCTGGGGGACCCCAGAATCCTCACCTGCCCCAGACCCAACCCCCCACAATACCACACAGACCCTTTGCCTGCCCCAGCCCCCCAGTAATGTTCCCTTGCAACCCCTTCACCTGCCCCAGGCCCAACCCCCCCCAATACCCCCTGGCCCAATCCCCATATGTCCCTCACCTGCCCCAGGCCCCAATCCAATTCCCCAGCTCCCCCCTGAGCCCGCCTCCCCACTCACCATGCTGGGCCCCACTGGGTCTCGTTGAAGGCCGGACTAGCAGAGAGAAGAGACAGCAGTTACAGACAGCTGAGCCCCACAGCCCCACGCCTGGGTGGGGGGCACAGTTCAGATCCCCCAGTGGCAGACAGGTGGGGCCCAGTGAGGGACAGGGACAAGGTATCCCCAAGAGTCTGGCTGGGCCCTTGGGGGTATCCGGGGGAGCAGAGCCCAGGCCCTCTTGGGGTTGGGGGAGATGTGACCCATAAGCCCCCACCAATCACTATCCTGACCCTGGGCCGTACATTCCGAGTCACCAAAGAGTCTCATGTGAGGTGTGAAATGAAAGCCGGGTCACGCCGGTCGTTACAGCCCTCGTGAGATGGACATGCAGGGCGTTACGCACGGAGCCGAGAGCATGTTAAAGTCTGGCCCAGGCAGAGCTGACAAACAGGTTTTCTGCCAGAGGAAAGATGTTTGCTCACCTGACTCTGTGTGTGTGTGTGTGTGTGTGTGTGTGTGTGTGTGTGTGTGTGTGTGTGTGTGTGTGTGTGTGTGTGTGTGTGTGTGTGTGTGTGTGTGT